TTTCTGGAAGACTCACTCTGATTAAAAAGTCCAGTCCTCTCCAAAGACTCCTTTATCCCCCAACTCACAACTACCTCCTGGCTCAGACCTCACAGTTCAGAAGGGGTGGAGCCTTTCTCTACTCTCCCCCTCCTTTCCCACTCTGCAGCTTGGGGAGGAGAGGTCAGAGGCAAAGTCTTAGGAGACTTGGATCTTCTGTCTGCAGTGAAGTGTACTGGCATCGGAGGGTGTTCCCTGTCACACTGGACTACAGCACACACCACTGATGCCTGGTGTCCCTGTCCATGGTGTGCCCGGGGCATGCTCCCCAGTCATTGTGAGAGCAAACCACCCCTCATGCTGGCAAATGCTCTCCAATGGGTGGCATCACATTGCTTGGGGACCAAGCCTTAGCACTTTTTCCCTGTTCCCTTGGCTGACACCATTGGCCAAAGTGTCCTCTCCTGCACTTGGGAGTTCTTAGAGCCCCCTGTGGGGACCTCCACACTGCCCTGTCCCCTGATACTGGCTTTGGATTCCCTAGATGACCTATAGTGACACGCTGGTCCCAATCCTGAGGTCTGCCACACAGACCCTCTCCTTGCTGGGGCTCCAACAAAGCCTCTTGGTTGAGAGCCAGCGAAGTCTCCAGTCAGCTGCTGGTGGTGGCATACATTTGTCCCATGATGAGTGACAGATGAGCAGACTGCCCTTAGCTGCCCTCCCTTTCCAGTTGTCACAGGGAGCTGTTCCCATCACACCCGGCCAGGAAGAGATGAGGGTCGGCCTCTGTTTCCATAGATTGCTCAGCTCCAGGCTGGCTCGCCAACTTCCCACCCAAGCTGCTCTCACTGTACTCCCACCTGGTGCCCACACACGGCTGACCAGAGAATGTGACATCAGTCCCTTTTCTTACAGGAAACGCTGTGTCTAGGTTCAGTACCAGCACCAGGTAGATGATAGATAGATAGGTAGATAGATGATAGACAGATAATAATAATTATGATACAACATAAATGAATCTCAAAAATGTATATTAAATGAAAGTAGCTAGATACCAAAAGATGTCACTAATACGAAATTCCCGAACAATAAAACTAATTGATGGTGATTAAAAGTAGTTCACTTCTTGCTTCTGGATAGGGTAGGTATAGACTAGGAAGGTGAATGAGGGAAATTTCTGGAGTGCTATGTTTTATGTCTTATTTGCATGGTGGCGCCCATGGGTGTGCACGTATACAGTATTCACTTTTTATTTTTATTTGTTTTTTATTTTGACACAGTCTTGCTAAGTTTCCCAAGCTGGCCCCAAATTTACAATCCTCCTGCCTCAGCCTCTCAGAGTACTGGGATTATAGGCATATGTCTGGCTGTTATTTTTATGTATTTATTTTTGTACTCTACATAAAATTTATCTCCATAAGAGAAAAAGCCAATGGGGAAAAATGGCCAAAGCTAGGAGAGAGGTGGAAGAGCTGTAGCTGAAGGCTACAGGTGGAGGACTTGGAGGAGGGGCCAGCGAGAACCTGTGGGCTGCAGGCGCTGGTGGGACTAAGGGGAGGGACAAGGCAGTGTGAGTGTCAGGGAGGCCAGAGGGAGAGAGAATCCTCCAGCAAGTCAGCAGTGTAGAACAACAAGGACAAAACCCTGGAGACCCTTAGGTAGGGTCCTTGGGGACCTTTGGACACTTCCACCCACTCCATACTGCTCCACCTGATTTAGCCTTCTTTAAGGGCAACGTGCAATATGTCAGCACTAATTTTGACCCATTCATTCTACTTCTAGGAGTCTGTCCTACAGAAATGACTAAGTACTGGCACAAAGATTTCTGCACACTCTCTGCAGTAATAAGAATGGGTTTGTGCTGAATGCTTTGCTTGCATTATTTCATTTAATCATAAGAACAGCTCAAGGTCAGTGTTATTTTTTTTTTAGTACCGGGGATCGAACACAGGACCTTGTGCTTTCAAGGCAGTGGTCAGTGCTATTTTTATACAAGTTGTAAAGATGAAACTGGAGCACAAAGAGGTTGAGTAACTTATCAAAGTTATGTCAATCTAAAAAAGTCAGATGGAGATTCTAGAAAAAGTAATGTAAAGACAACTTGTTTGGGAATACAGCACAACGTATTGGGAATTTGTGTGCCAGAGTAGACTATGAATTTATTCAAAGAGTTGAGACAAGGGGAAAAATTTAAAGGCAAAAATGAGGAGGATTGGATCAGGTATTTTGAAACAACAATCCTTGGCCACAAGGATTAATAACAAGATTGGCATCGGTCTCAGGTTGGACAGACAATTGCTGGGCAGATGTCCTGTTAGAAGCACTTTTTGGGTAAGGCCTCTATGGGCTCTGGCAAGCTTGTGACTGACTGTGCCTTTTGTGAGAGTTACTATCAATCAATCATGCCTAAGAATGCTTCTTCACAACCTCCTGGCTTTATTGACTTTTGTTGTTAGCGTTGACACAAGTGACTCCATTTTGATTTTGACAACTGTTACATTTTTTATGTATATAATAAAATAATATGTGGTTATGGAATTTCTTTCTGTAGTTAATGACATGGAGGAAATCATTATGATAATGTGATTATAATACTTTAAGTAAAATTGGACAATATATTAAATATAAGGTGTGATTGAGGGCCAGGGATTTAGCTCAATGGTTCCACTGCCTGCCTCAAAAGCTCAAGGTCCAGAGTTCAATCCTGGTACCAAAATAATAATAATAATAATAATAATAAGATGTGATTGAAAAATACAGTGAATGTTTAAAATTTTTTATGTTATTACAGTAAAAGACACACATTGCCATGAATCCCTCTCAAAATATACCCCCTTTGCTTTGAGCACACTTATCCCATCATTCTTGCCACTTTCCGAAACAGGTCTGGAAGTCCTCTTTCATGAGTGTCTTTAGTTGTGCTATCATGGCTGCCTTGACATCCTGAATTGATTCAAAGCTTTTACCTTTCGTGGTCACTTTCACTTTAGGGAACAGCCAGAAGTCCCATGGTTCCAGATCCAGTGAATAAGGTGGATGAAGACACACCATAATGTTTCTACAACCCTGCCTTTCCATTGGATGGCATTGGGCAGCAGCATTCACTGTATTTTGATCACTTCTTGTAAAGACACAAAAGAAAACTTCCAGAATTGCTTCAGAAAGTGGCAAAAATGATGGAATGTGTGTTCAAAGCAAGAGGGAGTACTGTATTTTAAGGGAGATTAATGGCAATGTGTCTTTTACTGTAATAAATTTTTATAAAATTTAAACATTAGCCATATTTTTAATCACACCTGGTAATAGTATGGTCCCAGTTTTGTTTAATTATTTATTATGTATTTTTTAAAAGGCTTAACTGGGAAGATCTCTGAGTGCTAAAATGATAGCTAGAGTTTTCTTGTTTATATTTTTTCTGCTTTTAAATTTTCTTTAATGAACACATGTTACTGCTCAAATTAGAAAAATAATGTTACGTATGATAAGCAGGGTCTGAAGAGTGGAAGTCTACTATTTCAGCTGAAATATCTCCTTACTGGGCCAGAGGCCACGGAGAACAGCTGACCCATCCACAGCTGAGCAAGACACCCATTCCTTCCACAAGTGGTTACAGCCTCTCCCCCCCCCCCGCTGCCCCCAGAGGCAAAGAGACAGGGATTCAGCAGTACAGGGAATCAGTGATATCAGAAGACAATGCGGAGGAACAGACTCGGCATCCAGAAGACAGCATCTAAGCATTCGTTGTAGACCCTTGTTTTCAGAAATAATGATATGACTGTTACTGGGGAAGTGTTGATGAGGTGATACAGCAGGACATGAGGGCCAGGGAGATGTCCTGGGGTGGATGGTGTTGTTAAAGAAGAAAAGCTTTTCCGCAAGCCCATTCTGCTCAGTACTGGAGGCCTACAAATTAAAGTAACCAAAGACACATTGATAGGAGGGGGAAATGTTACTCAAGTGCATGAGGAAGCTAGCAAAAGAACCAGCTACCTTGTTACATGGTGAAAGGCTTGTATACTAAATGTAGTAAGGAAAAGGAAAGGGAGAGAAAAGGCTGCTATGGGAGGAGCAGGCAGGTTTCTTCAGGAAAGAAAAATGAGTTTTCAGAGGAACAAACAGGAGATAGGACAGTTTATGGCTGTTTCTGCAGGAGCCTGCAGTCTTTCCCTTCTCTTCATAGCTATGACTCCCAAGAGAGGGATTTACCCTTGGCCTGTCTCCTGGGAGCAGACTCACCATGGAAAGGGAATTTCTGACAGTTTCATGTTCCCAGAGTTGTGTTTTGTCAGATAACAAAAGCTCCAAGCTTCTTTCTGCATCTCTTGATTCTCAAGTGTCTCGGGCCTAAAATAATCTTCCTAGACCCGCTCTGGAGCTCTGCTGGGCCCCACAGTGTCTAAGCTGAGAACTGAAATTAAGCAGGAGGAAGCTAGAAAGAGATGTTCCTCTAGGGGTGTGGGGGTTGACTGAGGCATTGAAGAACTGGATGGGAGATCATCAAATGTGCCCTAAAAGCATATCCAAGTCCTAAAATTCTAGATTTTTCTTTTCATTCTTTCCGAGTTTTTTGTATGTTTTGTTTTTGTTTGAGACAGGGTAGGTAGCTCAGGCTAGTCTTGAACTAATGTAGCCCAGTCTAGCCTCAAACTCACTGAAATTCTCCTGCCTCAGCCTCCCAAATGCTGAAATTACAGGCATGTGCCAGCATATCTGTCTGGAGTCTTCCTGGGACAAAAAGGAAAAAAAAAACCCCACAAAACAACCAAGTTGGAGCTCAACACCACACTCAGAGCCAGAATGTCTGAGTTAGACCTGATTTACCTACCAGCTGTATGGTCTTGGAAGGCCATTTAACATCCATCCGTGAGCCCTAATTTCTCACCTGCAAAATGAAGTCTCCCATTCAACCTTTAGCTCTTTTCTTGGGGTCAGGAGCCCAAGGAGGATGGAAGGTAGGAGGAGGTTGAGAGTGAGGTGACTGGGCCCAGTGATGACAGAGCAATCTGGTCCCCACATCAAGGGGAGCTCAAGCCATGTCTGTTCCCCAGCAACACATGTGGTTGACCAGATGGCCTGTTGCGGAGGGTGAACCAGAAGGTGGATTTCCAGAAGCTGAATTTGAGGCGGTCTTTGAGCAGGCTTTTTGGTGGCCGGCCCTGGGTCCGGGTGAACAAAGAGTGTCCTGGGGAGCAACCATGGCCGGCGTCTTGGAGACCAAGCACAGAGACTGCTCGGCCAAACCGAAGAAAGGCCCCTGGACAGTATTTGGTTGCGCGGCGTCCTCTGCTGGTAAGTAGTTGAACTGCATGCACCTGTCAGACACCCTGAAAATTTCATTCCTCCTTCGCCAACCACAGGACATCTACAGGCAGCTCCGCAGCCTGGACGTTAAAGCTGTAGTTTAGTTTTGGTGGCAGATTATCAAACTTCAGGACTCCAAATATATAAGGGAAGTGGTATGATAAAAATACCTTTTAAAAAAATCTATACTTCTAAAAGCATGATGAAATGAATGATAGTAAAATTTTCCCAGGCCCTCTTCAGAGTACGAGTTTGAAGTGTGAGGGGAGTTAGTAGGCAAAATGGATCATTTTTGCAAGTCATGGTTGAGCCTTTTGGGGAGTTTCACAGAAATTAAGAAAAAATAGTCCTGGCACCTAACAAAGGAACCATTTTGCACATCTGAAATTTTCTAGTTCTTTGTAAACGCGTTGAAGAAAGAAATAATCCAGGTAATCCTGAATAATAGATTTTTTATAATAAACCGCCCTGTGGTTTTATGATACAGGAAGCTTTAAAGAATGGAGTGACATTTTTATTACAAAATTCTTTCCCATTTATATGAACAAGATGTCTCAGCCCAGTATCTATAAAAATAAGGAATAAGAATAGAATTGGCACTGATGTCTGCTTCATTTGATGTCATAGTCACCCATAGATAGATGAAGTGTTCATTATGAAATGCATTTCCATAGAAGTTTACACTTTAATTCTCAAAAATTAATTTATCACTCACTCCAATAAATTGCATCATTTTGATCAAGCATGATTAGTCATAACTGATAATAACTCAAAATCCTAAAACAGTTTAGCATAGAAAATAAAATACATTAAAATTTTTTATTTGTATAAAATTTTTGCAGAAATATATGAGGGGTTGATCAATAAAACATTTTCAAGCATAAAAAATGCATGACATTAGGATAAAATTATGTGTGAGAAGTGGGGTGGAAAATTGACTTCAAAAAGAGAAGATAGAGCTGGGGATTTAGCTCAGTGGTTCTGCTGCCTGCCTTGCAAGCACAAGGACCCAAGTTCGATCCCCAGTACCTAAAAAAAAAAAAAAACACAAAAAAGAGGAGGTAAATATTTCAAAGTTAAGGGGTCAGGGATTTAGTTCAGTGGTTCCGCCACCTGCCACACAAGGTCCAAGTTCAATCCCTGGTACCAAAAATAATAATAATAATAATAATGATGATAATAATGTTATTGAAGAGTATGTGTAAAGAATTTTTAAGTGGATGTTATCAAATTTCAATCTATTATGATATATTTCATTGTTGTGTGTGTTGTGATCAAAATATATGGTGAATATTTTAAATTTTTTAATGTAGTACACTAAAAGACATTGCTATTAACCCTCCTCAAAATATTCCTCCTTGCTTTGTTGGTTTTTTTGTTTTTGTTTTGCTTTGCTTACTATTTTTTGAGACAAGGTGTATCCTAGGCTAGCTTTAAACTCACGATGTAGCCCAGGTTGGCCTTGAACTCACAACAATCCTCCTGCCTCAACTTTCAAGTGCTGGGATTACAGGCATGAGCCACCATGATCAATGTCTTTCTTTCCACTTTCTGAAGCAGTGCTAGAAGTCCTCTTTTGTGTCTTTATGAAGTGTAATAAAAAATACAATGAATGCTGCTGCTGAGTGCCATGCAACAGAAAGGCAGGCTCATAAGGACATACGCTGTGTCCTCATCCACCTTGTTCACCGGATCTGGTGTTGTGCGACTTGTGGCTCCTCCCCAAAGTGAAAATGACCATGAAAAAATGTTTTGAATTGGTTCAGGACATTGAAGCAGCCACGGCACCACAACTGAAGACTCTCATTCATGAAAAAGACTCCAGAACTCTTCAGAAAGTGGCAAGAATGGAGGATAAGTGTGTTCAAAGTGAGGGGGAGGATTTCTGAGGGGGATTCATGGCAATATGTCTTTGAGTGTAATACATTTGTTTTTATTTAAACATTCACCATATGTTCCGATCATACTTTCTGTAAGTCCATACTCACAGTTCTCCAGCAAATGGATCATCTGAAGCTATTTAAGCTTCTAATGAAATTTAGGTGCTAAATTTGAAATGTGTCAAGGAATCGGTAATTTTAGAAAATATTTTTGTGGATGCACAAGGGAAACAGGTCTAAAGATCCCTGGTCTTCTCTACCAATAGATTATAAATTTTGGTGGGCTACAGGGCCAACCAATTAGTGTGTAAGAGTTTGTATACTATAATAATAATATAATAAAGATAGCTTATTAGAGTAATTACCCAACACTGGAATTATTCAGAGCACTTTATGTTAACCTTCAAACCATGACAGTATGAGGAAGGAACCAGTAAGGTGCCTGTTTCACAAATGTCCAAACAGGCACAAAGGGACCAAATGACCTACCTGAGATGACACAGCCCACTGGTGACGAAGCTAGGAAGGAGACGTGGCATTGGAGCCCGTGTTCTCAGACGTGGACTGACTGCCTATTTAATAGTTTGTATTTTTATTTATATTCTTTATTCAACTGATACATAAAATTGTACATATTTATGGGTACCCTGTGACATTTCAACACACGGATACATTGTGTAGTGCTTAAATCAGGTGAAACACATCTGTCTCCTCAAACATTAATCATTTCTTTACGGTGAAAATCCTCAGAATCCTTTCCCCAGCTTTTTGAAATGCACAACGTAGCGCTGCTGTCTTTAGCACACCAGAGCTTCTTGGTCCCATTTAACGACAGCCCATTACCCATGGGTCAACCTCTCTTGCCCTTTCCTTCCCCCCAACAAAAGTTCTGGGAGCTGAGGATGTTGCTCAGTGGTAGAGCGTGGAGCATGCGTGAGGCCCCCAGGATTGATGTCAGCACCAAAACAAAACAAAATAAAGAACCATCCCATGAAAAGAAATCTTGATAGTTTCTTCCAACACCCCAGCGACCGTCAGGCTGCCAGGATGTATCTACTCTGCTTCACAGACACCTACCCAGACCTCTGGGTCACAGACCTCAGCATCACTGAAGATGTTTGTCTACAATGCAGGTGCCAGGACACCACTTTGTCCTGCAACATCACAGTACATGGCAGGCAGCTCCAGAAGCTGCCTTTTTTTGTTGTTTGTTTGGTTGGTTTGGTTTTTTGAGATGGGGTCTCACTATGTAGTTCAGGCTGGCCTTGAACTCACTATGTAGCCCAGGCTGGCCTCAACTCTTGGTGATCTTCCTGCCTCGCCCTCCCAAGTGCTGGGATTACAGACACACACCACCATGCCTGGCTCAGAAGCTGCCTTTCAATGTTGGAAGCAAGGAAGTGGAGGCTCCTCTGAAAGGAATGCAGGCACGTGGTGCCACTTTTAGACCAGTGACATGGGAACAGGATGTCTTACCTGCAGAACTTTAAGAAAATAAATTGTGTGCTTTTAACTCACTAAATGTGTGGTCAATTCTTACAGCTTCAGTAAGGAACCAATACGGCTAATAAGTGATGGAGTCCAGACTGAGGCTGAGGCAGTCTGGTGCCAGATCTGCTCTTCTCATTACTGGGTTATTGTTTCATCTCCAACCCTTTAGTTTCCATTGGAAGTTGTGTTTGTTTCTGACTTCACTACATGGGGTCTCTAGTTTCCATCCCACTGGCTGGTCCCGCTATCTAGAAAGTTCTTCCCCTGTCTAACTAGCTCACCTCATCCTTAAGGTTTTTGGTCAAGTACTATCCTATTTTAAGTTAGAATTACCCTCCTCCCACAGCCACAGACTTCTTAACCTGTTTAATTGTCCCTGTGGTATTTATTGCCATGTGGAATATTATATATTTTACTTCTACATTTACTTATTCATTGTAAAATCCATCAGGGAAAGGATTTTTGTCTACCTGTTCATTGCAGTGTCCCCGGACCCTTGAAGGGAGCCTAAAGCACTAAGAAATTATTTGCTGCATGAATCACAAGGCAGGATAAAGAGATCTGAACTTGGCGTTGATGGAAGAAGTAGTACATTCAAGTGTGACAAAGGCAAGATGACAAGACAACCACTGAGCTGACTGAGGATTGGTGAGGGAGAGGGACCATGAGAAGTTCCTGGCTTGGGTCTCTGCATGGTGACATTAGCCAGGAGAGATTATATGTGAGGTTGAATGGATCCTTGGGGAAGAACTAAATTCAGTTTGGGCACCCATAGGACAACATGTACAGTCATGTGTTGCTTCTGACAGAGATGCATGCTGGGAAATGTGTCATCAGGTGACATGGGTAGGAATCGCATCAAGTGCACTTACACAGACTAAGATGTCACTAAGCAATATACTCTTTTTTTTTTGGTACCAGGGATCAAACTCGGGACCTTGCACTTGCATGGCAGGCACCAGAACCACTGAGCTAAATCCCTGGCCCCAGGCAATATACTCTTAAGGGACTGGCATCCTATATTCCATCTGTCATTGACCAAAAAATTATGCTGCATGTGACTCTATATACATACTACAAGTGTGGGGGTACAGAGGCACAGGGAGAAAAATAGACGTGTGTGTGCATACACACATACATACAGGCACTCAAGCACAAGCATATCCATAACACACATACAATTATACACATTAATAAAACATGTATACATTATTGGCAAAGCATGAGATTCAATACTGTGTTTAAATTCCTGCATATTTGAAAGAAAATCTAGGAAAATTTTTTAAAGCACATTAATTCCACATGTAAGAAAAAAATATATAGTTAAATGGCTATTCATAATCTCTCCCAGCCCTACCATCCTAAAACAGAAGGACACCTCTTGACCAGGTCAGTCCCTGGGCCTCCTCTCTTAAGAGGATCCAGGGAACAAATATAAGGCCAATAAAATGAAAAAGAATGGAAAAGTTAATCGTATTTATGTAATGAACAGCTAGGAGGGAGCAAGGAAGGAGCCGGAGAAGTTAGGGTGACTGCTGGGCATTGGACCCTAAGGAAGGTTGGAGGTTGCAAGTGGGAAAGAGGGGGAGCTACATGGGTGGCTATCTCCTGGTGCAGAGTATCAAGAGTGTCAGCCACAGGCAGAGAAGAGATGAGCAGGTTTGCTATGCATGAAGGCCCTGCCACCTGTGGTACGTCCTCGAATTTAAATCTTACATATTGGTTGTCATTTCTTTGAATGTGGTGGCATCTTAGAAGCCCAGTGTGTAGTTCTTTGGATTATATGCAGACTACCTGGTCATCCAGTGCAATGCTGCTGTGGCCTGCAGGATACAAGGGGTGGTCGTCTTTCTCCTGCTCTGCCATTCAATTTCATGTATCATATACACTAGATGCCAGAGTTGTTAGTGGAGGTTGACAGGGCCCAGAGTTTCTGTTGAGTGTGATAAGAATCCTGAAGTGTTGTAGATTGTTACGGACCGAAGAATGGAGACAAAAAAATTGGTAAGAGAAATTCATTCTAACTCATATCTACAAGCTAAATCAACAAAGAAAAACAGTTCCAGTTGGGCAAGGTGGCCCACGCCTGTAATCCCAGCAATCTGGGAGGTTGAAGCAAGAAGATTCCAAGTTCCAGCCCAGCCTGGGCAACTTAGTGTGACTCTGTGCAAAAAAATTAAATGGGGATGTAGCTCGATATGAAAGCTCTGGATTCAATCCGCAGTATCACAAAGACCAAACCAAATCAACAAACAAAACACATCCATATTCTTTCTTATATGGAGAAGGTCACCTATCAAGGCCACATCACTTCTACTTTTAGAACCAACCAACCAAGAAGCAGCAAAAACTTCAAGTTATGGTTGAACTTCCTATCCTAGGACTTGTCCTGCCCCACTTATCTGCAGCCAGTGTAGAATCACTGTTAATGAGTTACTGTCTTCTCCCCAGAGTGTCATTATAAAACACCCTGGCTCCTTTGGTCTGGTGGGCTTTTTCCAACTGCTACCTGTACACGCTCCTGGTGAGGTACAGAATTTGTCTTAGTATCAGTCCTTTTACCTTTAGCCAGCATCCTAAACTCAATAAAATCTTTATTTCAAATACATCTTGGTCTCAAAAGTTTGATTTAACAAATGTTTTAGCAATGATAGACAGGAAGGCGTGCATGTGTTGTATGTGAAATCTTTTTCGTGTTTCACAACTACAATCCCTAAATTAATCGCAGCATTTTGAGCACTTGCTGATGGAAGTTTCCAGACACAGGAAGGATCACTGACGTCCTGGTGAATGTAGGAAAAGATGATCTTTATCAACTAGTTCAAGATGAGGAATTTTAGAACATTTGGCACGAGTCATCGGCTGTCAGAAGAAAACAGATTTAGACAACGCATTACACAGATACCCTCAAGTGAGCAGGTTAATTCCAGAGACGAAATAAGAAAGTGTTTGGGCAAACATGTATGTCAATTTAGCAATTCCAAGTGCCACTCTAGTTTTTGGAGCAGTAATTTCTTTCCAGTTGTGTGGTTTTTTTTTTTTTGGTACCGGAGATCGAACTCGGGTCCTTGAGCTTGCGCAGCAGGCGGCGAAACCACTGAGCTAAATCCCCGGCCCCTCCAGTTGTGATTTTTAACATAATGTAAATATATTTTAATATTTTATACCGCAATTGTTTTCGTTCGTTGACAATTGAACTCATTAAGTTATTGACAAAAACTTAATAAGCTCGTTAAATTTTTTTCAATTAAAATATTTCTAAGGTTCACATCACGTGTTACAACGCGGTGCCAACCGACCCCCACAATCATTTTGGGCACAAGCGCAGGTGGATTTGGTCCCTATCAGCTCCCGTAGTGTTCATCAGCAACTTCCGCCTCTGCCCCGCCTCTCCCGTGAGTGCACTTCCGGCAGCGGCGCCTGGAGCGGCCGAGGCAAGATGGTGAGTGACTAAGGTTTTCGGCTGCTGGTCACGGTACTGAGTGGTCGGAGCGGCCCGAAGCGAGAGAAGTAGGCGGCTATCCGAGGAAATCGGCAGCCCTCTCCGCTCTCGTGGGCCTAGCCTCCCATGCGCGCTGAGGCTCCCGGAGACAGCGCTCAGGTCCACGGCCTCGCCACCTTTGCTGCTCCGCCGGCCTCGGCTCCGCACACCAGCGCGGGCGGCTCCTCGGGGAACCGGGCAGGTGTTTTCGGAGCAGGTCGAGCGAGGGGTTGGACGGCCAGAGCCGAGGGGGTTCGCCTCGACCGAGGTGGGGACGGGAGCGTTTGAAGGAGGCCGAAGGCGGGCGCTTTGCGACGGGCGGCTCTGGGGGTCGGGGGCTGCGGTGCGTTAGTATTAAAAACAGCCAGCATTTACTCATTAATTCGCTAAACAGTCGAGTACTTGCTTTGCTTTTTTGGCTAGGCACTGAGGGTACGAGGGTGAGCGGAATGGATGACGTCCCTGCCTTCATGGCGCTTCCTTTCTAGAGGAGAAGGCGGACAGTAAACAAATACGTCCGAGAGCCAGGGTAGGCTGGGCTGGCCATCGTTGTATTGGCTGTTTTATAGAAGGGGATGAGATGGGGAGAGTAGCTGTTTTTGATAAGGTGTCAGGGAATGACCCTCGGGGTGAAATTGTAACAGAGGCCTAAATCGAGGGAGTAACCAGTGCAAACATCAGAGGGAAACATAGGCCAGGCAGAAGGATCAGCAGGTGCAAAGAAAGGATCAGAGATGGGACTGTGTTTAGCCTGAAATCATGAGCAAAAAGGTCAGACCACACAGAGGTCTTCTGAAGACTGGGGTAATATTCTGAGTACATGGTAGGTACCTTTTCAGGATTTTGTCGTTATTCCAACAGTCCCTGGAGTATACTCATTTCGCTAAAGACAGTGGCTGCGATGGAACATGAACTGTCAGTCTTTTCTAATAGAAAGTTACCCAGATTCTGATTATCAGACCTGATTGTGATTCCTGGCTCCATGTCTGACAAGCTTTGTGACAGTAGCCAACTTACTTAACCTCTCAGGGTCTTGGTTTCCTTATCTGTAAAGTGGAGGTGATGATAGTAATCTCATAGTGTTTGTAAGAGTTAAATAGGATGGATAATACTCTGAGAATGTTTAGCACAGTACTTGGCACATAGCAGTGGCTATTTGAGACCGAGAAACATGTAAAATGTGCCAAAGATGGAGTTTGGGACCCATTCAGGCAAATGTCTTCCATTGGAGCCAGACCTGCAGGATCTTATGAAAGGTACCAGTAGATAAATTTAGAAAGGTTAGGCCTCCCAAACTGAAGGGTTTAGACATTACTCCCTAAAGGTCAGGAAGCAGCTGACAGTGTTTAAGATGTGAAGGGTCAATTGTTTGTGTTTTGGTTTGGCTTTTTGTTTTACTTTGTTCTTTGAGACAGGTTTGCTGTGTAGCCCAGACTGGCCTGGAACTCACAGCAATCCTCCTGGTTTAGCCTCCTGAGTGCTGAAATTATAGGTGTGTGCCACCATGCACAGCTAGCTGTTTGTTTTAGAAAGTAATGATGGGCCAGGGATTTAGCTCAGTGGTTTTGTGGCCTGCTGTGCAAGCGCAAGGACCCCAGTTCGATCCCTGGTACCAAAAAAAAAAAAAAAAAAGAAAGTAATGAATAGCTGTATTGGTGAGAAGAGAAACTAGACCCAGAGATCCTAGTTGAGAGGCTTGTGTCCAAATAAGAGATGATGGCCCAGATTAGCGAGAGATCGGCAAAAGAGAGTGAAGAACGGTTTTGGGTGGTTTTGTAGCAGACTGCTAGTTAAGATCCTGACCCTGCCCTTCCTTATTTCACCAGTAATAGTACATTGGAGAAAACTTAATTCATGTAATTGGTAAGTGGTTTGCATATTTGCCTCATTTTCAGTAACAGGAGCTGGTATCATCCTTGCTTCCAGTTAAGGATGGGAGGTCAAGGAGGTGACGTGATCTACCCAAGGCTGCATAGCCTATGGTAATAGAGCCAGAATTCAAACTTGGATTCATTTTAATTCCACAGCCTGTGTCTTCAGGCTTATTACAGTTCCTCACCTATAAAAGAGGGAATAATGAACCCTACCTTGGGAGGACTGTATGGAATTAAAGAGATAGTGAAGCACAGGATTAATGAGATAGTACAGAGTTGGGCACATAGTAAGGACCCCATAAACATTAGCTGCCCCAATCACTGGCAAGTTTCCTTGGAAGTATGTCATTGATAAAGGCCTGTACCTTGGATAGCCTATTTCAGCATAACTGTGTTACCTAGAATCTCTCCAAGCCCTTAATTGCCTTCTTGAGAATTAAAGCACAAAGGTTTTTGTTTGTTTTTTAGAATCTTGCATGTGGTGAAATATATTTGAGATTAACTCTTGGGTATCCACAATTGTAATTGTTTTGTCTTTGTGACAGAACTGCTGCTCTACTAATTTTAAAGGCATCACGTGAAAGTGATCTGAGGGAGCTGAGCAGCCCCTCTTAATTAGTAAGTTCAGGTTACTCGGGTTTAAAATGACACCATTTCTAAGGTTTGCTCTGCGTTAAGCATTGTCTTGTTAATGAAGAATCTGTTTTAAAAGAGAGAATTCCCACTGAGCTTTTTGTAAATTAACACCTTCAGGTGATTTAGCTTTTCAGTTTGAGAAGAAACTCCTGCCTGAGAGCTCCCAGGCTTCAGGGGTGGGAGGAGATAAGTTGCTGTTGAAACGAGTCTTCTTTTGGATGCTGATATGATCTCCTTAGAGTAAATGATTATTAAGTATGTACAATGATAGTTCGCATAGCTTGATTTCTTGAAATACACTGGTAGTCTCAGTGTTGTAGTTGTATATTAAAGAATGTCAAGCTCTGTACCTTCCACTCAGGAGAGGGTATTCTTAGAACCTCAGCCTCCTTAGTTATGTCTACTGCATAATAGAGTTGTTCTTGATCCTAAGGTGCAGTCAATTATATGTAATCTCTACTAAATGCACGTATTAGCTGCAAGGTACACCTTGGTTTCACAGGTATTAAAATGAGGGGAATGTGTGTTTCAGAATCATAGGACAGTAAGATGGGTATTCTTTTGAAGTGACCATATTCTGAATTTATATTCATGTCTGATTTTTTTTTTCTTTCAGGGTCAAAGTCAGAGTGGTGGTCATGGTCCTGGAGGTGGTAAGAAGGATGACAAGGTAAGCCGGATATGTACTGCAATATGAGCAAACTGTAGAAAACTTACAGGTATCAGCTGGGTTCTTTGTAGAGTCAAGAGTTTTAAAAAGCAAAATGATTTAGTAGTTCTTTCACTAGCAAGCCTATAAGTAGTACACCTTTTTTGTGTTTTTAGAAGGTTACTGACCTAACCATAGGTATTTATGAGTTAATAGTTTTTAAATGTGTAAAAGGATTAGCATTATGAAGTTTTAAGTAAATTGCCTATAATCCTAGGGTTTAATATCTTGAGGTGTGAGCCATACATTACTTAAACTTTTGACATATTCTTGACCTCTCTGTACCTTACTGGCATAATTTGCTCACTGTTGTTTAGTAATATCAGATTATTTATTAAAACTGCAGGAATATGAAATTTAGGGGTTTTTTTAAGGTAATATTTTAGTAGCATTCTAAAAGATATGGAAAATCCTATCACCTAGAAATAGCTGATGGTGATATGAAAATAAATTTGTGTTTTATGATTTCCATGTCACTTTTTTCCCTGCTCTTTTAAAATCTCAAGGACAAGAAAAAGAAATATGAACCTCCTGTACCAACTAGAGTGGGAAAAAAGAAGAAGAAAACAAAGGGACCAGATGCTGCCAGCAAACTGCCACTGGGTAATGATCCAGTTCCTTCTTGCCAGGGGAAACCACCTCTATGCATGTAGCTTATATTCTGTAAGGGGACGGGAACGGGAACAGGAAGGAGGTTAGAGCTCTAGCTTTGAGTTCGTAACTCCATTCTTCCCGTCTTCCAGGTTGGCATAAAGGTATAACTTATTTTAAGATAGGATATTATACGAGTCTCTCTGACTTTAAAAAAAATTGCATTAATTTTCTTTACATAGCTCTTTTAGTGTACTTAAAGTACAGTTTTAGATTACAAACCCAGGTTGAACTTGAATAACTTAGAAACACTCATGAAATAAAATGTATCAAAATTAAAAATTCGAATCATGTGATACCTACATTGTTCAATGGCTGCCAGCTGAACATAAAATTACAGCTGTCCTAACCCAGCTCACCTCTCCTTGCTCAGCCCTGCCACTCACCTTTGCTCTTTGCTCACACTGCCTGTGTCCTTGGACTCTTCCTGTATGTCAGACCTTCTGTATGTCCTTACTCTTATCTCTGCTTTAAATGTTCTTCCCTGGGTCCATCCCATGTGTACCTGCTTCTCTTCCCTTTAGGTTTCAACACAAATATTGCCCCTACCCTCATCAATAAATGTCTTTCCCTTAGAAGAAGTCAACTAATTTTTAAAATACTGCTCAGTTAAGAATGAAAGGGAGCAGGTGCAGTGATGCATGCCTGTATTCCCAGATGCTTGAGAGGCTACAATAGGAGCACTGCAAGTTCAGTGCCAGCCTGGACAAAGTGAGATGTTGTCTCAGAATTTTTAAAAAAGGGGTTGGGGATATAGCTCAGTGGTGCAGTGCTTGCCTAGGCCTTAAGTTTAATCCCCAGTACCTCCAAGTAAAGAGGAGTCAGATAGTAAAACCAGCCATTAATCTATTGTAATGAGTCAGTGTGGTCCCAGTACAGAAAGAGACCAGTCACCAGAACAGTAGGAAGCCTAAAAACAGGTTGCATGGATATTTAACATATGTTGAAGGAAACGCTTCAATTCTATAAGGAATGGGATGGGTTACTTAATATAAATGATTGCCATTTTTTATTTTCTGTCCAGAGAAAGTGAAATTAGATCTCTTGCCAGATGGATCACAGGAAAAAAAAACCCAAATAAATGAAAATCCAGGAATATATTTAACTTTAGGGGAGAAAAAGCTTTTTGAAGTTAGAAAGCTAGGAAACTGTAAGAGAAGGTTGACAGATTTGTGTATACAAATGAGAAAATTCTTGTGTGGCATGAGACTTCGAAACCCCAAAGAAACAAAGTATAGAAAAGAATATTGCCACATATGACAGAGGTGTAAAATTCTACTACTGTGACTGTGTGCACAGCTAGCATGCAGCGGTGGTCCTGAGCAGTACTCCTCTCTTATTTATATCCGTGGGAAAAATAAACCAAAGTATCTTTTGTATCAGTGGCTTTTTTTCTTCTTTAAGTAAAATAGATGTTCAGTGAGCGTGTCACTTTTGACTGGCTATTTGGTCACAAACCTCATCCCCATTTTCAGACACTTGGTTATAACTGCTAGTTCCTTTCCCGTGTTCATCTTGGCACTTGCTTAATTGGGGTTAGCAAATTTTGAATTTTTCAGAATCTTTTTTATTTTTCAGAGTCTCACTGTATAGCCCAGGGTGACCTCGAACTCAACATGGTCCTCCTGCCTTAGTCTCCCAAGTGCTGGGATTACAGGTGTGCACCACCAAGCCTAGTTCAGAATCATAAAATGAGTTTTATTTAAAAATCTTAATAATTTTTCCTTAATTTCAAACTTTAAATTCCAAGTGTGATACCTTATTTTTTTAATTACAGTGACACCTCACACTCAGTGCCGCTTAAAACTACTCAAGTTAGAGAGAATTAAAGACTATCTTCTCATGGAGGAAGAATTTATTAGAAATCAGGA